AAACTGCTGCTAGAATTTGCCGAAAACAGCCCTCCACCCGTCCCAAGACTTGCTTTGGTACCAATTTGATAGGAAATACTTGAGTTCGCAAGTAAACCTATCTATAATTAGTGAAAACGGCGAGTGTAATGCAAAATCTGGGCAAAAAAAGCCCCAAAACGGTAGATTGCAAGAAGAGAAACAAAACCAAAATGAATACAAAGTAAGATACAATTGATCCTCAATTCGAGAGGAGGATCATTCTCTCCCAATCTCTAGACGAGAAGCCTAGGGCCCAAGACACCAAAGAGAACTTCAAGAGAAATAATAATCATGCATAAAACCTAACCTTAGAACAAATCCCCCTATTAATGCAATTAGTTTCCTAATTCAAACCTCCCTCATTCAAAAATTCCCTCTCCCTAGCTGCCTAAACCTCCTTCCTCAATTGCCCCCAAGTGGGCCCCACATGTGGGCGGCAAATCAAACCTCTTCCATTTGCAAACTCAGATCTTCCCCCATGACACCAGCTGTCAAAATCTTCCTCCCTCCGTCGCTACTACCTGTTTCGAACCCAAACAGCCGAACAAACCTCTCATCCGAACACCATAGAGATCTCCTCCTCTCAGTCGCATATCGAAAAAAATGCCAACCTGCACTAGTCTCGTATGCCAAAATCCCTAGCCACTCCTATTCACCAAATCCGAACTGAAGCACTAACCACTCGACCTTTCCTCCCAAGCTGACGCCACCAAGTGCCTTGTCCAATTCCTCCAGGACTTCTGCCATATCCTTTATCAACTGAGTCTAAACCTACAGCTTTTGTGTTTTGTTGTAAGCCTCTCTATAGCAATTATCTTCATCTCTCTTTATTTCCTAAGCATTCAACCCATTATTTAAAAGGTATAATAGTCCATTTGATCTCCAAAGCTTAAACCAGCCCACCTAAGATCAAATAACCAAAATCTTCCTAAATCAACATAAACAGTAAGTTATTTCTTTATCATTGTATTCTATTTTTATTAGTTTATATTAATTACTATTATCAATTAAAATTAATGCTTATTACTTGTGTTAATCAGTTAATACTGTAAGTCGTTTGTCTCATCGTTGTTATTAAACTCAAACATGTGCATGTGTGTGTGTGTATATGTGAAAGAAAAAAAAGGTGTAAAAAAAAAGAAAAGGGAAAGAAAATCATTCAAAAAAATTGTCTCAACGTTTTTGGCCTCCACCTCGTCGTCGCCAACCACTTGCGAAGATATAAATTTCTAACTCAAAAGCCTGCTCTTGATGCTTGTGGCGAGCCGGTAAACCTCTCTACGTGCTCACGTAGCACGGTGGGAGGAAAACTAGTGCGACACTCGCGACGAGATAGGTAAGCCTCGAAGCGCTCACGTAGCGTGGGGAGGATGAAACTAAGTACCCATACATGGGAAAACAATTGTGCTCTTTGAAACATGTACCAGAGACCCTTAGCGCTCATGTAGCGTAGCGGGGATTGAAGAAAATGCAGCCGTAGTGTCATCCGACATCTACCTGAATTGCTCATGTAGCGTGGAGGGGAAGACTAGTCTTCCAAAATTTCCCCTAAATGGTAAATTCCGGTGAACAGAGGACTTGGACTTGAACTTGCATATCAAATTTGTGGACTTTTGAACAATAGGGGACTTGACATCAAATGAACAAAGACTTGACTTGAACTTGATTAAACACAAATGTCTTAAGTGAACTTAATCTTAAAATGGCCTTGGACTTGAAACAAATGACAACAAATTGAATTTGGACTTGAGTTTGACTTGGACATTAAATGAACTGAACATGAATTCAAGCTCGACTGCAGGGGACTCAAACTCAAACAAGCAACGGAAAATTGAACCTTAAAATTAACAATTTGCAATCATATGAATGATAAATGAAGATTTAAAGAACTCAAGTGGATATCAATGGACAATTGCAAATGATAAAATTAAAACTTCAGTGGAATGATAAGGAGTTATCACCTCATTATGAATTCAAATGTCATGAAAGCAAGTCAAAGAATTCAAGTGAATATCAATAAGCACCTGCAAACAATGGCGTATGATGACTAAAGCTTCTATACATCACTCATAAGAAATGATCAACATGAACCTACTACACATACAATAGCTCACTTACAAGCAACCACAGAAAGCTTGTGGATATTCGTGGATGATTTTAAATGATAATGGGAATTATTGAACCTGCAACATTTGAACCATTGCAAGCAAATACATTAAGCAATAGATGGGTTTCAATGCACACAAGGAGTACCCATGAATGGAGCATGAAGAATATGTAATTAGCTGCAATGCATATCACATATTATGTAAGAGACTGGTGTGATGAACCTTCTACTATCATGGAATAGAAGATTGTAGTAAACACAAATACATACGGGCCCTTGTCATACGTACTAGAAATCATCCACGAGCAAAATGTCAAAGGACTACAATGAATGCAAATTCATACAGGTCGTTACAGGAAATTTATTGTATGTACACTATCTACGAGCAGACATCAAATGATCACAATGAACATGAATGCCTATGTGTTGCAGAAGTAGACTTGTCGTGCACATGACATACAATCTATGGGCAAATACGCAAGATCTGTAGTTAATACAAATATTTGTTGACAATGCTAGAAGATTTGCGCTCAAAACAACTTGTTCACAGAAGACTAAAAATGCCTACAATGGTCCTGTTTGCAGGAAATAGTGGGAAAGTCGTGTTAGACACCGCTTGTAGTCAATGATGATTGGTACACAATAAGGATGATAACGAGCTGCTACGAAAAACTCATTCCACACCCAACATGTCAGTTGCGACCAGAGGGATTTGACATGCAATGGAAGTAGCAATGTGATACATATAGATGTGTGCAAGTGAATGTCAACACGTTATGCCTTGCGCCCACTAGAATTAATGATTTATATATGTGCTATTAGAGATTGATACAAAGCTTGATGGCCTAAACATACGATTACAAGTAGAAAATGCACCTGCTATTCCAATCATCTCAAGGACTGACACAATTATTTTAGAAATCGATGCCTCACATGGTTCTCGTAGACAGTCTGATGTGCCTTTAATTTCTACAGGTTATCAGTTCAGAGTGGTGGCCCCTGATTTTGACATATAGAGCATCAATGTGAACGTAGTCATCCATAGTTGAAATGATTGATTCTTTATTTAAGCCAACAATAGAAAATGAGGAGGATGCATAATCCAAGAATCGCTTATTGATTTATGTACGAGCTCTATGAAGAGAAAGCCAAATCAAATCATTATGGAGAGAGAAAGTCTCAGTTCAACTAGGTTCTAAACATTGAGTTGAATCAGATTATTGAGGCTTGCAAATTTCTTGATGAATGATGATTATGCATCTAACATACCTCCTACGAGCAAATATCAAAGCACTATGACAAACGCAAACTTCTATGAGCTATTGTAAAAGACCCATCAAATGTCCAAAAATATCCCTACACATGCACTACAACTTGTATGCACAAATACACAGAAATTCATATATAATTCATACCTTTATGGACCCGGTGAGCGTGTTATGAGTAAACTTGTGATGTCTAGGGATGCTGCGTGGGTCAATAAATGAACCACAATTCGAGCCCAATCATTATATATAGATAGATAGAAGTCGACACAGCTCGAGTTATCAAATAGATATACGGTCAAGACGTTGACCGGAATATCTATTTTATACGTTCATATAAGGCTTTCAAGGTCGATGATAAAAGAAATTCGTCAACAAAAGACATAAAGTCTACGAAACCCGATCCTCTATCGACAGCTCAACAGAGTCGACAAGGATCAATCCACAAATTTAAATGACCCAAAAAACCCTGATGATGGCCGAATTGACAAAAGATCTCAACCAGAGGGGTCAATTTGAAATATTCAAAATGTTACCCAAATACCCATAAAAATCCAAAATTCCAAAATCTAAATATTTAAAATAGAAATTTCAACCATAATAACTTAAAGCAAAATCTATCCTCCCACCACAATAGTTTGTCGAGGTTGACAAAACTGAAAAATACTTTAGCTCATAAAGAGCTAATGTCGTGTCAAGAATAGCACTAGGATTCGTTCTCAAAATAGTCTTCTGCCAGTAAAGACGTGACACGTGTCCTCTAACCGGCAGTTTTGTCTCCAAATGGAACCGCAGGATAAATGATTATGACCAGGGCTCTCTAAACCAGGTGGTTTGCCGCCAAATGGCACCACTACATTACGGTTATGGCCAGAGCCCGTATGCTCCTCAATGGCATTAAATCCTTAAGATATAAATTAATAGGATATAATCAATAGGGCACAAAGCCCTCTGTTAGCTATGGTGGATTCAAATTTATCCCTTTGGACAAATATCCACCATAGGTTTATAAGGTATCCTTGGAAGAAGCAACCCATGGCTGCCGACAAGGATCCTTCTATCATGTTGGGTCAACTACCTCCTCTGACTAAGTAGACCAGGGACCATGATGACCCGGGACGATAGAACCATGGGAACCATGTGATCTTGATTGGGTCAACTAACTCCTCTGACTAAGTTTTTTTTTTTTTTTTTTTAAGTTAAGGGGAGAAAAATAGATGATTCATTCATTGAATTTTAATGCCAATTTATAGGCTTATAGAATGAATTTAATAGGAAGAAAATAAATGTGAGAATAAATGAAATTAATGGAGAATCATCATATATCTTAGCAAACACACTCTACTTATGTAATAATTTTCTAATAAAATTTCCTGATACAATAACATTTTTATTGGCTGAACTCGGTTAGAGAAATTTTTATTAGCCATATTAAATTCAACCAAATGAGTAAAGGGGTCTGTTTTATAAATATACAAGTGGAGTCCAGTTAGGACTCACTCTAAACAAATTGATGGATAATAACAAAGCACGAATATTTCAGTTATTTTACTCCATTAATCTGAATCCAATATCAAACTGCTCCTTAAATTTAAATACATGTGCAGTACTACATGGCGAAATTTGTGAGAAAGATTGTTGATATGATGAAAGAAGAAAAGCTATTTGCCTCACAGGGCGGGCCCATCATCTTAGCTCAAGTAAATTTCATTTACAAGCCTCAATTATTTTCCTTAGTTTTATACAACTAGTTCTTCTCAATCCCACTTTTTCTTTTCTTTTATTAAATAGATTGAAAATGAGTACAACATGGTGCAAGATGCGTTCAAGGAAGGAGGCAAGAAGTACATACGGTGGGCTTCTAACTTGGCCTTGAGCTCGGGGGCTGGAGTTCCATGGATGATGTGCAAGCAGCAAGATGCTCCTGGTCCAGTGGCAAGTTGACATTAATCTATTCTTAAATGATTACTTGATTTATCCATTAGACTGTTCATATTTCTGATATTTTACTTTTAAATATTTTATGCAGATCAATGCCTGCAATGGAAGGAACTGTGGTGACACCTGGATTGGACCGAATCATCCAACTAAGCCTCTTGTCTGGTCTGAGAACTGGACAGCACAGTGAGTATAATATTATGCACTAAAATTTCACTGGTTACTAAGAACTCTTTTGTCACAATTACAGATAATCCCTAATTTCCATTGGATCATTTCTTTGAAAATGACAGGTACCGTGTGTTTGGTGACCCACCATCACAAAGAACAGTTGAGGATCTTTCCTACTCAGTTGCTCGATTCTTCTCCAAGAATGGCACTCTTGTTAACTACTATATGGTATAATGTGAAGTTTCTTCCTTTTAAACTACCTAAAAAAAAATACATATAAGATAAAATTCTGATGCCTCTGGTTTTAGTATCATGGAGGGACCAACTTTGGCAGGACTGGTTCTGCTTTTGTGGCAACACGGTACTATGATGAAGCACCTCTTGATGAATATGGTACATAAATAACTTGAGCGAAGGTTTGTTTTGAATTTGTCTCTTTTCTTCTTATAAGATGAGCATATATATGTAGGTTTGCCGAAGCAGCCCAAATGGGGACACCTGAAGGACTTGCACCAAGCTTTGAAGCTAAGCAGGAAGGCAATGCTCTGGGGCACTTATAGTTTCCTGTCACATCGAAAAGACTTTGAGGTAAACTAGATACAAAAGCGTTCCTTGTAAAACTATAGCAATATATTAGGGGAAAGAGAACTTGTGAAGAGATTCACTTCCCTCACACAGGCTAGAGTTTATGAGATTCCAAATAAGAAAGTGTGTGCCGCCTTCCTTACAAACACCCATGCTACTATAGATACAACGGTTAAATTTCGTGGTGTAGACTATTTCCTACCTCACCGTTCCATCAGCATCCTCCCAGATTGTAGGACTGTGGTTTTTAATACTCAAAAGGTAAATATCAAATGCAATTGTTTATAGAAACTCAAATGATTGTAATTACTCACTTTCATTAACCGTGTGTTCTAGATAAATGCTCAACACAACTCGAGGAGCTTCACTCCAGTAGTTGAGGTCAGGAAGAAGAGAAAATGGAAGATGTATAAAGATTATTTACCCAGATATCAAGATCAAGGAATTGTTCGTAACTATGAACCCTTGGAACTAATGAACATGACCAAGGATACCACTGATTATCTGTGGTATACCACAAGGTTTTAGTCTATCATTTATTGAATGATTGTTTTTAGTTTTAGTCAGTTTCCTTTATTGAATGATTCTTTTTATTAATTTCAATAAACTGAAGTTGCAACCATGAAGTTAACCAACCTTTCTCTCATTGATTTCTTAATGACCTTAGCTTCCACATTGAAGAAGAAGACTTGCCCAGAAGACATGACATTCGTCCCGTGCTCCAAGTGGCAAGCCTTGGCCATGTTGTGCATGCATTTGTCAATGGGAAGTACATCGGTAATTCTTCCCAACCTTTTTCGTTCTCGAACTTGGGGTTCGTTTGGTATGACTTTCTTATTGCTTCTAGTTAAAACAGTAAGAAAGCCGTCCCAAACGAAGCCTTGATCTCTATTTATTGTAGCTTACAAAGCTATAAATACAACTCTGACTACATAATGTCCCTAATGATTTAGCTAAGAAAATTAGAAGCATATTTCTTTCAGGAAATGCACATGGTAGCAAAATTGAGAAAAGCTTTGTTTTCCAAAAGCCCATAAAGCTGCATTCTGGAATCAACCACATCGCTATTCTTGCCTTGACAGTTGGTTTTCCTGTATGTGGAACTCTAAAATTCCATTGCTGGTATTTTTATTTTTTGCATGCTTTTGACTAATGTCTACTGCTCTTTATTTGTGTAGGATAGCGGGCCTTATCTGGAACATAGAATGGCTGGAATTCACTCTGTGGCCATCCAAGGTCTTAACACTGGAACCCTGGATCTCACTAGCAATGGATGGGGACATCAGGTGCAGATCAAGCTATGGTAGTACATCACAACATATTCGACTGCCATCATCAACAAAATCTAATATAGATTTGGATTCAAACAGGTTGGTCTTTTGGGAGAGAAGCTCCAAATTTATAGCCAGGAAGGTTCTTCTAAAGTTCAATGGACTCAACCTGTGGGCAACACAGCTCTTGTTTGGTATAAGGTAAGCTTGAATTAAGCAGGATCGACCCACAAGTATACTTCAATTGCCAGTGGCTAACAAGTCCCAATGACTACAGAGATACTTCAGTACTCCACTAGGTAATGATCCTGTTGTCCTGGACATGAAGACCATGGCCAAAGGTCTTGCTTGGGTTAATGGGGAATGTATTGGTAGATATTGGGTTTCCAACACCTCCCCTCTTGGCACAGCCACACAGACACTGTAAGTAATCTACTTCTTCTATTAAACTTTTTCAAATGTTTGCATGTTCCTTCTATCTGATGCTGCTCTAATCCTGTTTTACATTTTAGCTACCACATACCTCGTGAATTCATGAAGCCAAAGGGTAACCTTCTGGTTGTGTTTGAGGAATCTGGTGGCAACCCCGATGGGATTCAAATATTGACTGTAAAGAGGGATGAGATCTGCACCTATGTCTCTGAATACCATCGTTCATGGTCAAGGAGGAAAGGGAAGGTCCTCTCTATTGCGGAGGGTGTGAAGCCAGAGGCACAACTAAGCTGCCCCAACCAAAAGATCATCAAATCTATCACCTTTGCCAGCTTCGGCAACCCCACTGGAGTTTGTGGGAACTTCACCGTTGGAAACTGCCATGCTCCACAAACCCAGGCCATTGTTGAGAAGGTAATGATGCATATATTTCATGATAAGCATTTTCAGTTCTCTTATATATTTCTAACTTTGCAACCTTCTCTGTTACTGTTCAGATCTGTTTGGGTAGGAATTCATGTGTGATTTCGGTGAAGGGAGAGGACTATTTAGCAGATGAAGATTGCCCAGGAACGACGGACACGCTTGCAGTTCAGGTCCTATGCACTCTGTAGTAGAGCCTCACAGTTTGAGGAGATTCTTTCTTTCGCACTAAAAATTTGGATTATTATTATTATTATTTCTTAAAGCCGAAGTGCACAAACTGAACTGTGATGACGATTGAAGCTTTTACTAGCAGCACTTGTATACTGGGAAATTGATAGGAGCTGCTGCAATGCGCATCAAACAGATTTTCTTCAAACTATTCACAACACTTGATCTCTTTCCTCTATGGCCATTCTTAAAAAAATTATAAGAAAAACCTCTCCAAATTTGAAACTAGCTGTTAAACATGTGATTCTCACATGATTGTAAAACCTAACACTATAATATAATACTTGATTATATGTGTTTGGTTAATTAAAAATTAGTTCAGTCAACATGAAATATCAAACATAGAGTCAATGCACAACACATCCTAGAAAAATTTCCTATATGAAAATCTGAAATTCTCAAAATCTTTATTGCTAATGTCTTTTATAGCTTCTTTAATGGTAGCACAATCTATCCAGATGAACTCATAACAAAAAATTCAAGTTCACTAATTCTCAATCCCCTCTATTCTACTTAGGTCTTCATTGCCCAAAATTGGATGGCAGTATGACATATCCTCATTGATATACCAACTTTAGGGAACAATAAAATTTTGATTAAGAAAATTTTACTTGGTTCATGTCTCCATTAGAAAGTCCACACTACTTTATGGGAAGTGACCACGTCCTCATTTATTTAAAATTATGAATTCACTCCTTGAAATTTTAAGATTCAATTGAATTAGAAAATAAGGTGCAAATAATACATCATCAAAAAGTTCATCTAATCAAGCAAGAATCACAATGCAATATTTGAATTAGAAAATTCTAGAATTAAATCTATGTCCTTCATAACTCATATTTAAGCAAACATATAATTAGACAAGGCATTTCAATGAGATGAGCCTAACAACACAAAATGCATTTTGACCCAAAGTCTAAATGAATCTAAATCAAGCATGTCGATCATTGCTAAAAATTTTATGACATTATTTGAAGACCAACAACTTCTAAATCTTATGTGCTTACCATCAAAATGAGCTGCTTAATACAAAAACGATCATTACGCCCAAGATCATTAAATTCTAAAGTCATTAAAATAAGTAAGTTTTAAAAGAATGATCATTGATCAAAAGTATTAGTGTGGACCATCCGATGCAATATTTTAACATTTTGATTAAAATTACTAAGAAGCGCTACAGGAAAACAGCTCATTTCCGGCGGAAGTAAATTCGTCACAACTTCCGGCGGATTTTCTGGAGTATTTCCGACATAAAATTTTCAACGAATTTCCGACGATTTTTTCTGAAGGAATTTCGAGCGTATTTTCCGACGGATTTCCTACGGAAATTAAAAAATTAAGTTATATTTTAATAACTTATTGTCAAATTAAATTATTTAAATTAATTATTTTATATATTAAAAAATAACTTAAAATATTGAATTAATAACTTAAATTATAATAAAATAAATAAAATTATAATTTAATTATTTAATAAAAAAAATTAAATGATTTAAATTAAAATACAATTTTATAATTATTTATTTTATTAAATTTAGTTAAATAATTTAATAATTTATTATTAAATTAAATTAA